TAGTTACAATGAAGATGAATAACAAAACGTTCTGTATATCAATGTAAACAACAGACTTGGGCTAGACCAGTGACAGGGCCAAATGGCAAACAAAATGCACATTTTCAATAAAGGGATTAGAAGTTGATGGTAAGTCTTGAAACATGGCCGACAGGATCTCAGTTGGCTCCCCGGCTCTTCCCGTCTGTGGGTCGTGGGCACACTGACCCCAGAAAGTAGCAGCAGCCAAATGCCTCTCAAGTCAGCATCAGCCCCCTTTGCTCAAAGGTTATATGGATTTCAGCATTGGACCTCACCAAGCACCCCAGAGATACCAAACTTTCATGAACATGAATAGTAAGCTAACTAAGCTGGTGAATTCTGGCAACACAAGGTAAAGTGGGAGTCAGGCTGGGGAAAAGCAATGGAAGAAAGATGGAAGTGGAGATGGGTAGAATCTAGATAAAAATTTTAAAGAACAAATATACTGTCAAACATCCATGTCTTTGAGATTCTGACATCTAGTTAAACAACCTCCTGAAAGGGCTTTAGAGCTTAGAACTGGAACTGTAGCCTTTGAGATGCCCTATTTGAAGTCCCTTTAACATTAAAAAAAAAAATCTGGTTTGTCTGCCCATACGGTAACTATTTTCCACACATTTATTAGGGAGCAACTTGTCTCTTTTTAATAAAGCCGAAGGAATTTCTAATTGGTTTACCAGGGTTCCACAGTTTCTGCTGAGGAGAGAAAAATGTTAAGGATTAGAAACATTCTCTCCACTGCTGGAATGGTAGACCTATGAAGCTTGCATAGACTCAGCTACAAAGTGTGGGGAAATCTTGAGTTACAGATCTCCAGTATCAGAGGAAACAGTACCCTCTGTGGAAACCAGGACCTTCTGAATGACTGAAGAGTCCCACCTTCAGGCCAAGTGCTGAAAGGCAGGGTAGCTAGTTGTATCAGATGTTTGAGAACTACGTGTGATGGAGAGTGAGCCTCTGTGTGTGTGTGTGTGTGTGTGTGTGTCAGGGTTTTAACTACTCCTGAAATTTATCTCACTGTGATGAAAAAAAAAACAACAAAGTCGAGTCTAGACTAAGGGATGCATCTTCAAATTTAGCAGCCTCTTACACACTTACCTCTAACTGTAATTTGATTATTTCACTTTGTTTTTCCTTTTCTTGAGTTCTTAACTTTGCATTTAACTCTGAAATTTCCACCTCCTTTTTCTCTATTAGTTCTTTATGCTTTTCTTCATTTGACTCAACTGAACAAAAGTAAATAAAATTAATTCATCTTAATGTTTCAAAAATCTTATAAACTTATATATCTTTAGCACTTTAAACAATCCACAAGAAAGTAACTTTTATTAATAAAAATATTTTAGAAACCATTTATATACAGGGTAGCTTTTATATATTTTTGACAAGCCCCTACAAAATTCTTGAAACACAAAAATTACCCGTGAAGTACTTTTGAACAAATAAACTGATTTGTATTCTTAAACATCAATTTTATATAATATATATATAATAGAGAGAGAATAAATAGGAGACTTAGTAGTTAAAGAGGGACACAAAGCTTGGGTTCCTAGGTACAGAGGACTCCAAATTACTGGATGACTTTAGAGCTACATCAAACCCCTGCTAAACTCTATTCCACATGATTGGGCATCTGTCAAATTCACACCACATCTCTATGCTTCGTCAAATTTCCTCTTCTCTCAACTTTCCTATTCCTCTTAATGACACCATGTCATTCAGGATGGGAGCCTCAAGGGAATCTCCAACTTTAGGGAGAAAAGAGTCAATTCATCCACAAACCCTACCAATAAGGGCTCTCCATCCAAGACCAATTCACTACTTACTTAGTTTCAAGCCTTGTTTTTCCTCACTTGAACTCTGTGTCCAGGCTCTCAGTCACAAGTCCCTACATCCTATACACTGTTGCCAGGTTAGTCTTCCTAAAGCATACCTCTAAGTATGGCCATCACCTTCTCAAAAACCTTTAATCACTTCCCATTTTTTATCCTGCAATTCAAGGAGTCAAAGAATCCAGCCCTAGCCACAGTTTTTAGCTTTTCTCTTGCTAACCTTTCCATATGGCACAAAGAAAAGGTAGGAGATGGACTATTATTCCCTAAAATGTCCTACGTCTCCCCCTCTATTTGTCTTGACTTTTATTTTCTCTCTGCTGAGAGACTCTTTTTCCCATTTTCCCCAATGAATCTGAGCCATATTCATTCTTTGGGATCGGGGCCTCGTACTTAACAGTGTTGAAGGACAGAGTTAGTAATTTTGATAAAGTTCAATTTAGAATTTTTTTCCTTTATTGTTTGTGCTTTTTAATTCTTTCCAAGAAGTTGTGGCTAACTCAAGTTCACAAAGATTATCTTCTATGCTTTCTTATAGCAGTTTGTAGATGTAGGTTTATATTCTGACTTACCATTTCTAGTAAATTTTTGCATATATTGTACATAAGTATGAGCCCATACTAAGAAAAGTTTCTATTACTTTCATGAAACCAGTTAACTCTCAACATAAGTTCATGAGACCTGCTTTAGTGAGGGAAGAAAATCTCATTACTGAAATAATATTCCGTATGCAGACCATATAAATATCAAAGCTATTAATTATACATTTCACTGTAATCTTATAAGGACATTAACTGTTTCATATTAAGTAATGGTAATTACAAAAACCATAAATCCAGTTTAGAAATGTTGTAATTTATATCACATAAATATATAGAAAGGTACAAAACTTAAATTAAAATGCATCAAGGCAATGTTCATTCAAGAAAACTGGCAATTACTGAAAAAAGTTTATAAATGCATTTAAATTATTTTATGATGTCTTAGAATTAATTAAGTTAAAAATAAAAAACTTACTTTTTTGCTGCATATCCTGATGAAGTTTCCTTATTTCTATCTTATGTCCCTCCTCTTTGATTTTCATTTCACTCATAAGTTTGGCAATATTATTCTTATATTCCTAAAGATTAAAATATATATTCATTCCTCAATTACATATGTGTACACACACAACCTTCCATTAATTAGAAAGGTGAAATTCTCAAAGTTTATGTTAATTTTTTTTTTTAAAGATTTTATTTATTTATTTGAGAGAGAGAGAGAGACAGCACATGAGAGGGGGGAGGGTCAGAGGGAGAAGCAGACTCCCTGCCGAGCAGGGAGCCCGATGTGGGACTCGATCCCGGGACTCCAGGATCATGACCTGAGCCGAAGGCAGTCGCTTAACCAACTGAGCCACCCAGGCACCCTGTTAATTTTTAATAGTAATCATATCTAGAGGGGAAAGATATTGCTTATCACTTGAATAATCAGCTTTGAGAAGGATCAGTTTCTGGTCCAGGGTGAGAGAGACCATCTAGAGAGAACATCTTATCTTTGCTTCCTGAATACTCATCACCAGTGTTTAACATATCATAGATGCTCAAAATATTTTGTTAATTGTTAACAAATAAATGCCATGATAGCATTAAAATATGTCTATTAAAGCCAAAGCTATACTTTAGAGCCAATAGTAAGTTCTGTTCGATAACTGGCAAGCTTAATGTAACATAGGATGAATCCTTTGAATGTGGCCTGAAGTTCTATTTCTGAAAATTATATATACATCCCTAATTCCCAGAAGGAGGTTAAGTACTACCCATGGTAAGGGTTAGCTTTATAAGGAGGAGGCTAGAGAAAGATGAGTTTGGGAGTTGAGAAGTTCTCACCAGGTGCCTGTGATTGGTTTCTTAGGTTGCCGAAGCATAGAAGTGATTATTGTGCTAATGTGTTGGAAGAGAAAGCCCCTAAAGATAAAATTTACAGTTTTTCCAGAGGAATGTTTCTACATAAAGAAACCACTTACAGCCCTAAGATGTAGGCAGGAAAAAGGAAAGTGGCAAGAATAAAAGTAAAAGAGGATACTAAGACAGGTACATTAATGAAGGCAAGAGGTTCAAGAAAAGCTTCTAAACTAAACATCATAAAAGCAGGGACTTGGTTTTTACTTACCATTGTATCCTCAACTCCCTGTATATCTCTGGATAATATTTGTTGACTGAATAAGAGTGCCAACACGAATTATTTAAGTCAAAAGTTCCTAGCCTAGGCCCAGTAAATGGGCTTTTGAAGATCCATTAACTTTCTGAAATTGTATGAAAATTAGACATATATATATATATACGCATGTGTACTATTGAGCATTTTTCTCAGAAAGTGCTCACAGCTTTCAACAGATATTCAGTGGTATTGAAGAGGTTAGGTGTCCCTAATTAAACATGGAGGTACATGTGCCGAGATTATATAAGTTCAAGGGGAGATAGTGTGGATACCTACTTGTGCTACTCAACCCGCCTGGCAACTTGTAGGAATGGCCAAACTATCTAACCGTTGGCTGTGATTAAACCTTGGCAGGTGAATATAAAGGCAAATCTCATAAATTGTCACTTTCACATGCATGTATCTAGATTTCTAGATGGGCAACCACAGAGTGGCTTTCCTAAACTACTCCTGACTCAACTAAGCGTTTGCTGCTCTGAGAAACCACAAGAGACAAGTCTATGTATGTTTTCATTTCCCATTGATTTTGTCGCGTGAAGATGCCATCACTGAAGTGGAAAGCGTCCATTAATTTGGAAAGACAGGATTTTCACTCCAGCCTCTAGGCATAAAGGCTATTTTAATATGTGGGCTCGGGCCTGGCTGTACCGCACTAGGTTCTTCTCCCCAACTTTAGCCTGTGTCAGCTCTGAGGAATCCAATTCTTTTCTCTTTCTAAGGGGACCAAGTCCCAACAAGTTATTCTTGGTTGCCTTCTTTTCATTTGCCTTCTGGGAACTTTAAATTGTGAGGGAAAACCCCCATGTTATGTTTTGTTTTTATAAAATTTAAGGATCCTCTGTATACAAGTTACAAAACCTCTTCCAGTCTTACAAATAAGGTCATTGAGTACCTCCTGAGTGTTTTCCTAGAGAGTGGTTCTCCATATGTTTTGGATGTACCTGGACATTTTGTACTAGAGACTTCTCATTGGATTGAGATCATCTTTAGTTTGCTTTGAACAGCTGCTAATTAAGAACTTCTGAATCTGGGATTATGGTATTTTCTCTTTAATTTCCACCCCTTTGAAAACTCCTAAAGTATCCTAGGCAAAGCAATATTCTATGGTTTGACATTTTAGAAGAGATAGAAGGCAAACATTTCTCCCCCTTCTCTCTCTGCCCCAATTATACCCTAACTTTTATATATATATGTATAGTTGAGCTTTAGAGGCAAATATGGAAAGAGTGGGAAAGAAGAAAAGAAAGGGATAAAAGAAAGGAAAAATAAAGGGTGGGATATATTCCAGAGATATTTAAACTATCTCAAGTGTGGGACCAGATTGAATTTGGAAATGATCCTTCAAGTTGAAGTTCTAAGTTTGATAAAGATCCAATTTGAGTTTTGGAAACCTGAGGTCTGCCAGAGTTTGACATATTGACTCCTGGGAGATGAGAAAAAAATTATCATAAAACACCTCCCAAAGGGCAGTGGGAACTGACATTTACTGAGCACTTTTTATGTTTAGGTACTGTGTTATCTGTTTTATAATTGCTGCCATATGTTGTTCCTATGGAAGAAAAGAAAAAGTAGCAGAGGGTATGGTAGCCTTTGGGAGATAAATAATTGGTGATCCACATAAAATCCTCCTTTCATTTGGATGATGCAATAAAAGTACACAGATTACTCAAGTCAGAAAGATTAATGATTCATTTATTTTATAATAAAAAAAATTTTTAAATGCTAATTAATAGAGTATACTCTAGGTTTGCCTGTCTGGCTCAGGCAGTGGAGTGTGTGATTCTTGATCTCGGGGTTGTGGGTTCGAGCCCCATGTTGGGTGTAGAGATTACTTAAAAATAACGTCTTTGTGGGCGCCTGGGTGGCTCAGTTGGTTAAGCGACTGCCTTCGGCTCAGGTCATGATCCTGGAGTCCCAGGATCGAGTCCCACATTGGGCTCCCTGCTCAGCAGGGAGTCTGCTTCTCCCTCTGACCCTCTTCCCTCTCGTGCTCTCTATCTCTCATTCTCTCTCTCAAATAAATAAATAAAATCTTAAAAAAAAAATAACGTCTTTGAAAAAAATAGAGTATACTCTAGAGTAAAAATTCTATTAACATAATTTAAAAATATGTAAATATGTAGCAAAATAGTTGCATTTCTTTTTGGTGGAAAGAAAAAGTAAGGCAAGTGATATATTAGTGCATTATAGTCTGCAAAGAGACTAGAGTCATTCAAATTGTTATTTCTTTAAAGATTTTTATTCGTTAAAAATTCTGCCACACATATACTTATTTCCTCTCCAAATTTTGGCTGTATTCATTAATGAGAACAACTCCCCTTTTCTTCTAATTTGAGAAGACAAATGGTCTACAGGAATTTGATTGAATATAAAAATATATAAACTCACCTGTTCATGAGATTTTAACTTCTCTTTCATAAGATCAGCATTTCTTTTTAGTTGTTCATTTTCACCTGTGTAAAAATCACCAGAGGGCATCTTAGTACATAGTACTTTTTAATTGATATGGGAAAATATTTAACATTTCAAGTTTCCATTCATGTATGCTTTCAATACATACATACAGCCTCTGTTGCACATGAGGCTCTGAGCATAGCACTCGGAATGTTAAAACAAAGAAAATTATGGCTCTTCAAAGAAGAGCCTAATGGTAAAACAGATGTGGAAGTAGTTACGATGTGCTATGATAATTGCTCAGTAATGGTAGCGTGTCTGAAAGACCATGGGAACCTGTGGAAGAAAAGCCTCAATCAGCTTGAAGCCAGGAAAGGATTTACCGAGGAGGAGCCATTGGCAATGAGACTTAAAAGATACGGGTTACTCCATGCTGAAGAGAGGCATTTCACATACAGAAAACTGTACAGAAGCCTTCGGGTTTGAGTGAGGATAGCATGTTTGGGAAAATTACAGTTCAAGTACAGTATTGTTGGAGTGTAAACGGTGAGGAGGATGTACTAAATAGGTGGAAGTCATATCCTAATAGGAGGTGGATATATTCTCTATGAATGACTTCATATTTTATTTTCTAGGTTACGGAGTCAAAGAAATTTGAACAGTGAAGTGAAATGATTAGTTACAGGTTAAAAAAATTATCTGGCAGTGTAAATGATGAATGGGAGGTTTTGACCCTAGAGAAATTGGTATCAGTAAAAATAGATCAAGTAAGAAATAACAGGAGCCTAAATTAGATCAGTGGCAGTAGGACATAAAAGGAAAATGAATATAATTATTTCAATAGTAAGATGGTGAGATTACCAGGAGACTTAGTGACTGAATGGATAGCAGAGGCAAACAAGAAAGGGGAACCTTTGCTTTGTAGGTTGGGTAATTTGTTTGGGTAATTGAAAAATGTTCATCAGTTTGGGAAAAATTAAAGGAGGAAGATTTTAGGAGTGAAATGATGAGTGTTAGGTCTTTACTATGCTAAATTTGATTGCTTGAGATATCCAGGGAATATTTCTTTTTTTTTTTTTAAAGATTTTATTTATTTATTCATAAGAGACAGAGAGAGAGAGGCAGAGGGAGAAGCAGGCTCCCCGCTGAGCAGGGAGCCCGACTGGGGACTCAATACCAGGACCCTGGGATCATGACCTGAGCCGAAGGCAGACGCTTAACCATCTGAGCCACCCAGGCGCCCTCCAGGGAATATTTCTGGTAGGCTGAGAAACATTTAGAAGTGGCCAAAGAAGAGTATCCTGTAAGGAGACTGAGAAGTGTCCAGAGATGCAGGAGAGAGTGGTGATAAGAAAAGAGAGGTTAAAGGGGTCATAATTAGTGGCAATAAACGCAATAAAAAGATCAAGCGAAAGCACTTCAAATCTGAAAACTTTGGGAAATGCCCAATTATTTTAAGTTGAAGACTATGTGACGATGAGGACTATGTGAAGATGAGGAAATGGATAGTGAGTACAGGCCATTCCTTTGAGGTTTGATTGTAAAAGGAAAGAGTGAGGGCAACTGGAGGGAATAAATCCAAAGTCAAGGAAACATTGTTTTCTTGTTTAAGAGATGGGAGAGATCTGAGTTGTTTAAATGCTGAAGGAATGGACAGCAGAAAGAGAGAAATGAAAAACAGAGAAGAACAGACAATTGAAGACGCAATACTCCAGAAGAGAGATAAGAGTTAAACCCAAGTGGAGGAATTAACTTTGGATAGGAAGAAGGATTTTCTTTTTTTTAAGTGAAGGAGGAAGGTAGTAAGGATATGTCCAGGTATGTATATATTTAGAAAGGGTGCGGTGGGAAGAAGAGGTAGTAGGTTATAAGATTTAGGTAGTTTATGAGATTGTGTTATAGATGATCTCCATATCTGTAGGCTCACGATGTTGGATGAAATAACTTTTATTGTCTATTCCGTCTATGCTTCCATATTGAGAAAGGGGAAATTTAGTTTTAAACTTGAAGAAATGGGACTATTTTGATTGCTCATTCAAAGCACCGAAAGAGATTGATAGCTTTGAAGTTTTTGGATAAAACATTATGGAGAATGTAATTATTAATGATATTTAGGCCATTTTATGTGTGGAATTTTTGAAGTTTGCCTTTTTAGGAGACCCTAGTATTTTCCCAGCATTAAGTGTCTGCCTTTGGCTCAGGTCGTGATCCTGGAATCCCTGGATGGATCGGGATCATCGGAGATCATCGGGCTTCCTGCTCAGTGGGGAGTCTGCTTCTCCATTTGCTCCTCTCCCCACCTCGTGTTCTCTCTCTCCCTCAAATAAATAAAAATCTATAAAAAAGAATGAGGTAGTTTATGTCTGACAGCTTTCATTTTTTTTCAGTGAAATAGAAAGTAAAATAAGTTCAAAGAGAAAGAAACATTTAAAGTTGGTTTGAAGGTGAAAAGTTTGAAAAGCGAGGATAAATGAAGGGTATAATTGAAACTGAGATTTATAAATTAATGTGGGTCTGTAATGTATGATTTTTTACCAGTAACCTTCAGTAACTGTAGCATTATAAGGAAGCAGATGTATGGTTGGATTGATCCATCTTTGAGGATTAGTCTAACTGGTATTAGAAAAGGTAAGGAAAATAAAACCATTCCCAAAAGAGAAGATAAATGATATTCTAAGCTAGATATCTAAGCTAAAAAGGGAGGAAGGTTTTATCCTACAGCAACATTATTGAGAGCATAGTTATATTTACTTAATGTATTTTCATGTAAAACTTAAACAATGAAATGAAATGTATTAAAATATGGTTTTGCATCTTTAATTTGCCCTACTGTTTCAGACCTACCATAGTCAACATCTTTTTGTATATAACCAAAAGCCATCTCCTGACACCAGATGATGAAGAAGGAGCAGTGCTTGACAGGTTTCTCTACTCATTCTTGTTAACTTCTAGGTGTTTTAAGGAAAAGCAGATGTTTGTTTTTGTTTGTTTTATTTTTGTTTTGTTTTGTTTTGTTTTGTTTTTGTCACAGTAATTAAGGGCTGGGAGCTGCCTAAAAAACTTTGTGCTAACTAGGCAACTAATACCTCATGTATCTATTAGAAATGCTGTAGCATCCATTACTGAAAGATGAAAGAAAAGGTATTTGATGTTTTCTAATTTATAAAAGTATACTTGCCTGTCTTAGTAAGTGAAGCATCTGTAAAGGGAAGCTAATCATCTCTACACACCTTCCCTGACCACTTACTTCACCGAAGTTATCAATGTTAGCAGCCTGATCTGTATTTCTTCCCTACTTTTCTCCCAGCTTATATAATTATTTATAAACATATCACACATTTGTACTGGTTTTATTTATTTTTACCAATATAAAATTATACTATATATATTACTTTGCAAAAAACATTTCCTAAAAATGGACATTCCTTCGAGTCTGCAATTTTTTATGCATATATCTACATACATTTTTATAATTTTAAATAAATAGGATCATATCAAACACTCTGAGCTACTTTTAGGACACTCTTCCCTTCTCTTTCTTTCATTTTCTTTCTGCCTTCTTCCTCTCCCTCTTTTTTTCTCCTTCTTTCTCCTACTCCCACACCCCTGGTGTAATTGTGTTTCCTTATCAGCTTTTCCCCTTGCACTTAACCTCTGGATCATACATATGCATACACATACACATTTCCATAATTTTATTCATATCTTTTACCCATTTAAAAATTCTTTTTTATCCCTGCTGGTCAATTTATAGAGCTCATTGTATATTGTAGATATAAATTATATAGGGGAAGGAAAAGAAAAATAAAATAAGATGAAAACAGGGAGGCAAACCATAAGAGACTCTCAACTGAAGGGTTGCGGGAGGGGAGGTGGGGGGGTGAGGTAATTGGGTGATGGGCAATAGGGGGGCACTTGATGTAATGAGCACTAGGTGTTATATGCAACTGATGAATCCCTAAATTCTACCCCTGAAACTAATAATACACTATATGTTATCTAAGTGGAATTTAAACAAAAAAAAATAAAAAAAAACTACATTGGTATTTGAAAACACTTTTTCAAATAAATTACTTTTTTTTTCTTACTTTTGTGTGACAAAATAACATGTAAGTTGTTTTATTTTTGTTTGTCCTTTTTTTTTTTTAAAAAGATTTACTTATTTTAGAGAGAGAGAGAGATAGCAGAGGGGAGGGGCAGAGGGAGAAGTCAAGAGAAGCTCAAGCAGACTGCATGCTGTGTACAGAGCCCGATGGCGGGCTTGATCTCAAGACCATGAGATCATGACCTGAGATGAAACCAAGAGTTGGAGGCTTAACTGACTATGCCACCCAGGCACCTCTGTTGTGTACTTTTATTGTATTGTTATTAAGAAAGTTCAGTCTTTTTTTTTTTCTCTTTATATAGTATCTGAGGTTTTCAGATTGGTTAAGAGGACACCCCACAGCTCCAGGTTGTATCCTGCATACAGCTAATGTTATATCCTGAATTTTCTTTTAAGTTTTTATTGTTCTTTTTTACACTGCAGCTTTATCCATCTGGAATTTATTTTTAATGTGGTGGGAAAGAGTCCAACTTTCTTTTCTTCCAGATGGAAAGCTAGTTGTGCTAGTACCATATGTTAAAATGCCATTCTTTTTCCAATAAATTGAAATATTTCTTGTGTCATATATTACACTGACAAATACTGGGGCCTGTTTCTAGAATCTAGTTCTCTATTCTTTCTGGGGTTGTCTTTTTCAGTTTTTATGCCAATACCATATTGATTTCATTACAGCAGTTTCGGGGCATGTTGTTACCTGGTAACAAAACTCTCCCTCCTCCACATTCTTCTTATTTTTCAGTTTTCTTATTTGTTTCTTCTGTCAAATGAGCTTTAAGATTATTTTATACAATCTCTCCCATCCCCAATTGAGAATTTTAATTAAAATGGCACTAAATGTGTATATTAACTTGAGGACAACTGACATTTTAATGATAAGAAATCTTCCCTCTTCCAGAAAAACTGATCAACCCATCTAAATGTTAAACTACTTGCATCTTATCTGACTTAGGCACGTCTATAATTATGCTAAATAGAACCACAGAACTTATCTGTGAACTAAAGCCCCCTACTGAAGATGTAGCTAACTTCCTTAATACTTTATATTACATTTCAGTTGGCTCTATGTTGGCTTTCATTTGTAGTACAAACAACATATGATTATCATTGGCACTGTTGTTTTTTCATCATCCTACCGGAGTGAGATAGCACAAGCTGGGTGAAGGACAGAGGGAGAAGCAGGCTCTCCACTGAGCAGGGAGCCCGATATGGGACTCGATCCCAGGACCCTGGGATCATGACCTGAGCTGAAGGCAGACACTTAACCAACTGAGCCACCCAGGTGCCCCTTCGTTAGATTTCCAAACACAGGTTCCCACTCTGGCCACTTCTTTAAGGTGTAAGGCTGCTCTGGCTGGAGTATCTATAAATTCCAATAGCATTTTGCATCATTGTAGAGTCTGCCTGGTCCTGATATTTGACAAATAATCTTTCTCTGGCCTAGGCAAAATTCATTTTATTCTCTTGGACTCCAATAATTTTGTGATATATTTTTCTAAAATTAGTTATTCTCCTTTGGTATTGAACTGGGAGGTCCTTAAGTGTACACTGTCTTTGTAGTCATTATACAATTACAGTGAGTTGGCTTTTTTAAAAATATCATTGATGATTGGATTGCGTAGCTTTGTAATAATTTCATTCCATAATGAGCTAGATATTTTTACATTAAATTTCCTTACTTGGTTGCCTGAATAAAGGCTGTGTTGATTTAAACTGGAACTGTCCTCCAGCACCATTTACTCAGATTCTGGAAAAGTTTTTGTCTCTTAATTAACTGAGTGTTTTTATTTTATTATTTTTTAATTGGAAATTAATAGTTATATAACTGCATTGTTCTTTGTCTTATTTTGTTTTGCCTTGGTTTCTAGAAGATTTAGAGTTAACTTTTGTGCTCTATTGAAGCAACTACCTCTAGATTAGGCTTCTGATCCAAGTATTTTCCTAACTCTCTTCTTATTCATTGGCAGGGCTAGCGCTATGGGTGTGTGATCTGTGTAGCTGCATGGGACCCTGCACTCAGAAGGGTGCTGTCCTTGCTTCTGCCTTCAATGTCTTCACATTCTTGATAATTTTGTCTTTGAACTTCTTACTAATTTTGTCTTTGCACTTACATTTTTAAGTAAATTCCAGTGGGACAATGCAGCATGCATGCAAACAGAGAAAGTAAGAGCCATATCCATGTCCACTCCTCCTTGCCACTATATTCATACACTTCATTTGTAATGCCCCATGAGCACAGAATTCTAGTGGACTTAGGATCCCTGGGAGCTCAGCAAAACTCAAAGGTACAAGTACAAGATGAACATGTTCCATTTACAACTAAGTAAGCAAGGGTCCTTATTTTCTTTTGAACTAGAACTTGCTTCAAATTCAGAAAGAAAGAAATAGCATTCTAAGAAACATGAATGACCACGCAACTCTATCATATCCTTTCTCAATTCTGTTATTTCCCTCTCTTAAACATCTAATTATGTTAAAAAGGATGACATAAAAGGAAAGAGAAGGATAGGAAAATTCAGTTTCTTTTCCTCTTAGTCCTTCTTTGTTCATCAGGAAGTGAAGGTAGAGAGTATTGGTAGAATGTGCGGGTATCAAGAAGTAAAATGAATAATAAATGGTTTAGGTAGTTTTGTGCAGCATTTTCACTATTGTGGCAAGAATGAAACAGATATGCATGTACAAGCTATGAAGTATTAATTGGGTACTTTTGTGTATTGTGTATCTTTGAATTCAAAACTGGCTTGTACAATATAAAGATGAATGGTAATATTTATGTTCCTAATTAAAAATTTTTATTCTTTTTTACTTAAAGAAACATTAACAAAAGTATAAAACCCTGGCAAATTGAGAGAGACCACAGAAGAAAGAAAAAAGCTCTATATTTTAGAACTTTAATGTTACTTTTCCCCACCTTTGGCACATTGGACCCCACATTTTCATTTTTGTGTGGGGCCCTGCAAATTATGTAGTTAGCCTTGTTTATGGGTTTTGTTCTTAGCTTTCTTTTAATGTGCCTTTAGCAAATTTCTTTTGGAGAGAGGCAATTTTTAAATAATGAAGATTCTGAAGTATATACTCATAGCAGATCATTTCTCCATATGGGGAATGTGCTTATATGAATGTAGCATTTTTCCAAGGATATTATAGAAGCTAACATGTTAAGTTATTGTATGCTGAAAGAAGTATTTCTACATTTTTCAAACTACTTTTCTTATTTATTTATTTATTTTAAAGATCTTATTTATTTGACAGAGAGAGACACAGTGAGAGAGGGAACACAAGCAGGGGGAGTGGGAGAGGGAGAAGCAGGCTTCCCGCTAAGCAGGGAGCCCAATGCGGGGTTCGATCCCAGGACCCTGGGGATCATGACCTGTTTAAGGTAAAACAATGGGGTGGGGAGTAAGAACTAATGGTAATTCTTAAGGATAAATCTCAATTAGAACATTATAAAGACAGGGCTGTCTGGGTGGCTCAGTTGGTTAAGTATCTGCCTTCGGCTCAGGTCGTGATCCCAGGTTCCTGGGATTGAGTCCCACATCAGGCTCCCCGCTCAGTGGGGAGTCTGCTTCTTCCTCACCCTCTGCCTCTCCCCCTGCTTGTGCACTCTCTCCCTCTCTCAAGTGAATAAATAAAATCTTAAAAAAAATAACATTATAAAGACAATAAGGAATAATATGCCAAAGCAAATAAATGGTGTGTAAGATCATTATTATGCTTCTCTTCCATATATAAAGTACTTTTTTATCATAAAAATAGAGGACTAAAATGAAAAATTCTTAATTGATGTGAGTCTTATATTGGGAGGGACTTTGAAGGCAATTTCATCTAATTTCCAATATAGTAGAGGAAAATCCCATAAACACTGCACTGTAGCTAAATCAGAACAGGACAAAACACTTGGTTGCTTTGTCCATTTTGTCAATGAACAGGCACATTGGGTTAGCATGACTAGCAAAAATAAGGTAAGCTGAAGATGTTGGCTTCATTTACACAAACATAGCCTCATTTATGATAAAAAATTAAATAGCAAACTATCACTGCAGTTTGAATAGTATCTTCATCATGTAACTACCAGCAAATGACTACCCTTCAAAACTGAACCCAAGGTCTTTAAAGACCAAAAGTACTCCCAAGAATAAATATATTTCTAAACTTTTGAAAATAATAAAGACAATTATTATGATTGATTATAAAACATCCCTGATGTCCCTGTCAGAATAAGACTGAATTGTCCTGTTCATTGTGGTATTTCTTATTTCATAATAATTCAGGAAAGTATGATTTGGTAATAAGGAGTTTTGCCATTAGCTGATGAATTTAACAAGACCAGATTAAAAGAAATTTACTGTCAGTGATGTAAAAACTCTATTTTTAAAGGTACTCAAATATAACATATTTTTAAAGATTTTTTTCTAACTTACCTTTCAAATCATGTTGAGATTCAATGGTCTGTTGTAGCCCTTTTATCATATTATGAAGAGTAGCACATTCTAAAATATGAAAGATATATTTATCTGAAAATTATTTGCTTTCTTTTTGGAACTATTGTCTCAAAGTTGAAAGACTTAAAATAAAATACTTAATTGACAATTATGAGATCTTAATAAAGCAACCAGCTATCTCGAAGTAAATAATATAAGAAGTACCTTTTAATTACCCTTCAAGTCAAACGCATTCTGGGATTTGGTCATGAGCTTTCTATGCACAATAAATTCAGCATTGGAGGGATCCCCAGCTCCATGTGCTTTAGGAATATTTGTTCTAGAGGGAAGGTATACTTGGACATGTCTGGGGGCCTTCGCTGCAAGCATTTATGCCCTGTCATGTGAATATAAGCTTTCAATATACTCTTGGTTATAACTAGTAATAGCTAAACCTTTGGTGGGTAGCAATAGAGATGGAAACTTCTGTAATTCAAACAGTCCACTTGGCTGTAAGTTCCAGATATCAGTTTTGTTCACCATTTCTCCCTAGTATTTAGAGAAGTTGTGGTCCATACCAGGCACTCCATAAATATTTTTTGAGTGATTGATCAATAGGCAATATTATAGTAAACTGAAGCAAGAAAGGGCTAAGTGGAAAAGCTCTGGCCTGAAAAGAACATATGTTATATTGTTATTCTAAGTGCTTTGCAAATATTGAATAAGTTAGCCCTCCTAACCCTATGAGGTGGGTCCTAGTAGTTGCCTCATTTTACATATGAGGAAATGGACACACAGAAGTTTAGTAAATTGCCCAAGGTCACACTTATAACTAGTAAGTGGTAGAGCTACAACCTGAACACCACCAGTCCAGCAATAAAGCCTATGACTTAACTACCTTACTACCACAAAGAAGACTAGCTCAGGAGTGTCTTCTAGAGTAATAAGAGTAGGTTGGAGGCCCCGGAAAGAGGGCAGTCAGAGAAAGACTCTTTTTGATAGTTATTGCTATTGCATTTTCACTAGAAGTTTAGGGGGCACAGGTTGCACTAGTTTAAGTTTACAATTACACTAGCTAAATATATAGTGATGAAAAGCCCACAAAAGAATAACTTAATATCTTTAAAATATTAAAACTTTAAAGTTTAAGGACAATTTCAACTTTTTTTTTTTTTAGTAGGACAATTTCACCTTTATGTGCTTGGCTAAACAACTAATAAATATTGAGTCTTACTCTTTTTCATTCAGTTTTAGAGGCCCAAGATGGTTATTCAGATGGATATGCACTAATATGGCATACTGACTGGCTTCCATTCTAGTTGGGCATCTGTTTTGATGGTTAAATATTAAATACCATATTTGTATCTGATAATAAAAAGATATCTAGGTATAATAATAATAATACCATTTATCGTGTGTTCATTCTGCCAGGCATTATGTTAAGTGCATTATAAACATTACTCCAATTAGTATTCACAATGATACTGAGAGGTTGGTATTATTGGCCTGATTTTACAAAGGGAGACAGTCGTCCATAGAGGTTTGGTTACTTGCCCAGGATTCCAGAGTTAGTAAATGGAAGGTATGGACTCAAACATAGGTTTTCCCCATTTCAAATCCTACTGTTAATCTTCTATTTAATACTTCCTCGGGAATTATAGGATATGCTGATGAAACCATGAAACTTGGAGTCTGAGGGACTAGGGTAGAGTTTCCCTTTTCACTCTCTAGCTATGACACCCTATTTGAATTTTATATTCTCCATCTGCAAAATACAAGTGTGGGTAATACCCATCCTCCCTCACATATAAGACTATTCTCATATATATGACTGTTCTGACAACCAAATGAGAAAACAATACTTTCTAAATTTACTCACACATATTCAAGATTATTGTTTTTTATTTCTCTCCTCTGCCTCTCAGCAATTTGTTTATATCTCTTCTCTCCATTTCTCACATTTCATTTATTTGTTTGTGGCTTCTCCCACTAGGTGGTGAACTCTTTCAGGTAAAGATCATATCTTATTAATTTTGATATTTCTTACACCTAACATGGTGACTATTTCATAGGTGTTCGATAGTATTTTTATTTATTGACTAAAGGAAAGAACCAATATTGTGAGGGGAGAATGCAAAACTCTATCTTTCAATTAGAGGTCCTGAACTGAGTCTCCATGTACTTTCTTCAACTAATGAAAGTATTTTGTAGAAGTTAAAAGCTTTATGCAGATATCAGGTTCTACTATTGTGGTTTTTCACTCCTCTGCGTATCCCCTCTACCATTCCTCCCATCCGCTCAAAGTGTCCACCATCCTCCATCTTTTTCTCTTTTGGTATTCCCCAGTAATGGAATGATGGTTAAATCACATTTGACATTGCCTACTTCATATGTTGCTATGTTAGTTGCTACAGTTAGAAAATTAAGGGAGTGCCTGGGTGGCTCAGTTGGTTGGGCGACTGCCTTAGGCTCAGGTCATGATCCTGGAGTCCCGGGATCGAGTCCCACATCAGGCTCCCTGCTCAGCAGGGAGTCTGCCTCTCCCTCTGACCCTCTTCCCTCTCGTACTCTCTATCTCTCATTCTCTCTCTCTCAAATAAATAAATAAAATCCTTAAAAAGAAAAAAGAAAATTAAGGGAGTGCCTTGCTGGCTCAGTTGGTGGAGCATGCGACCCTTGATCTCAGGGTTGTAAGTGTGAGCCCCATCATGAGTACAGAGATTACTTAATATCTTTAAAAAAGTTAAGGAGGCATAGACTCTGCCATCAGTTCTCTTTGTGTCTTTTAGAGGAATAAATCCAGCAATTCATGAAATATGGTAGCTAGAGTTATCTCAGTACAGTTGACCCTTGAGTAACTTGGGGGTCAGAGGTGCTGACTCCTGTGCAGTTGAAAATCGGAGTGTAACTTTTGACTCTTCAAAAACTTAACCACCAGAGCACCTGGCTGGCTCAGTTTGTAGAGCATGTGACTCTTGATCTCAGGGTCGTGATTTCGAGGCCCAGATTGGATGTAGAGTTTACTTTAAAAAAAAAAATAAAGTTCAAAAACTTTACTAATAGCTGACGGTTGGCCGGAACCTTACTGATCACATAAAGTGCATTAACACATATTTTGTGCTATGTATTATAGCCTTATTCTTACAACAAAATAAGGCTAGGGAAAAGAAAATGTTACTAGGAAAATCACAAGGAAGAGAAAATACCTTTCCAGTATTGCACTGTATTTATGAAAAAGTATGCACATATAAGTGGATTCATGCAGTTCAAACCTGTGTTGTTCAAGGGCCAACTATAATCAGCAAATTGAAAACAGAGCCCTGAAACTGAAAGTATACTGATTTTTTAAAAATGTGTATTTTCAAAATATGAACACGAGGTGGCTCTCTCAACACTTCTTCTTTTCCCAAAGGAAACTGGCTCAATAAAAAATTTGTTCATAAGGTGGAATACCATTCATTATTTTAGAATAATGGCTTTTAATTCTCTTTGCATACCTTTACACACATCATTTCTGTTGGATTTTACAATGAATACTGTCCTATCCAATTCTTCTAAAAGTTAGAGTTCAGAATATTAAGCTACTTCTTATACTGTATAATTGAGTAAATAAATGGTTATTTTGAGCTCAAATTTAGGCTCTACCATTAACTAGCAATTTGAACATTAACATCTATTTCACAAAGCACTTGGAAATGTTGAATACAATTATGTATGAAAAGGATTTTTTTTTTTTTTTTTTTTTAGCACTTGGCCCTCAATACTAATATTGCTATCATCTTGAACTGGCACAGAAATTCTTTATCTGGTATCAAATGTAGAAAATACAATATCATGGTCTCGTTCTTTATTGTCGAAGAAAGCCAATCATATACGTAGTTTGTTCTTCCTAACTGAACTAGTACACACTTGGCTCTATAAGCTGTTACTCCCACTAGTTCTTTTACTTTGGCTGTGTCTTATCCAGTGAAAAGGCCATTAGATTGAGAATAAGTAGAACTGGATTTTTAAAAAGTGTTTATTTTTTCAAATAATAAATACACATGAAACACAATAATATAGTGAAAAATGATTATCTCTCTAATCTCTGCCCCCAGACTAATCAGTTTCCCTTCCCCCAAAGCAAGCACTGTTACCAGGAGGCTGATGCTGTTTATTTTTCCAGAGATACACAAATGCATAAGGGAGAGGGTGTTCTGTGTGCACAAAGATATTTTTATAAAAATGATAGCATGCTGTTGTGAACATTGTTGCTTTCATTTACCGTATCTTGGAGATTATTCTATGTCATATAGAGAGCTACTTTATTCTTTTTATCAGCTGCTTAGTATTTCATTAAATAAATATGCCATAATTTATTTAATCAGATGAATGTCACATTTGAAAAGGTCTTCTCTGTCTAAAAAACAAACACACAAAAACCCCACAAAAACCCATATTCTCTTCTATATTTTTCTGTGGTTTTATTTTTTCTCACCTTTAACTTTATATTTTAGTATGGTTTTATACTAAATACATATCCTGAAAAATCAGGAAGGTATTATAGAGAATTGCCCAATATCCTATGCCCAGTTTCCCCTATTAACATCTAACATTAGTATGGTATGTTTATAATAATTAATGAACCAATGTTGATACATTATTAACTAAAATCTATGCTTTATTCAGGTTTTCTTAGTTTTTACCTTATGTTCTTTTTCTATTCCAGGATCCCATTCACAATACCACATTACATTTACTCATCGTGTCCACTTGGGTGTGATAGTTTCTCAGAGTTTTCTTGTTTTTGATGACCTTGACAGTTTTGCAGAGTGCTGGTCAGATATTTTGTAGAATGTTCCTTTATGGGGATTTGTATGATGCTTACCTCATGGTTAGATGGGGTTATGGGTTTTTTGGGGGAAGATCACAGAGGTGAAGTGCCATTTTTATCACACCATATCAAGGGTACATACTATCAACGTGACATCAAGTTGACCTTGATCGTTTGCCTTAAGTGACACATGTCAGGTTTCTCCACTGTATAGTTACTCTCCACCACCCTGTTTTCCATACTGTATATTTCACACAGTGAAGAAAGTCACTCTACACAACCCACACTTCATGAGTGGGGCATTCTGATTTACCTCTTTGAGGGAAAACCACTTACATAAGTTATCAGGAATTCTGCAGAAAAGATGTCTCTTCTCCCTTATTTATTTATCTATTCTTATCAGTATGGGCTCATAGATATTTATTATATACTTTGGGTTACAACCCAATATTACTTTATTTAGTTTGTTGGCCAAATTGTCTCAGCTTTGCCATTGAGAACTCTTTCAGTTGGCTCTTGTATCCCTTTGACGTACCCCCATCATTGTGGAGTGTTTTATCTTTTTGAGCATTTTCCTGCTTTCTGGTACTGCAAGATGCTTCAGGCTCATCTTAATATATTTCCTGCCTCGGTCCTAGAATCAGCCATTCTCTAAGGAGCCCTGGTTCCTTTTATTGTAAAATAGTATTGGAAACCAAGATCTGGGTTCTTGTTGCTACTGCCCCTGTTGTTGTTTTTAGGCCCTCTTAGTTGACATAGCAAGGGAATATCTGTGTATGTGTTTTGTTGTTGTTGTTGTTTTCCCTTCCTGAAATAGGGCACCTTATTAGTGATAAGTGTTGGTCTGGGAACAGTGTGGCTGGGATGAACAGGATCAGCGCCCATCCTGGGGAACATTCCTAAACATCAAGCATTCCTCCATGTAAATTTAGAGAAAACTCCATCATGGATGACCCCCTCCACCCCAACAGCACTGTGACCCCCAAGCAACAGGGGCACCTAAGGCACAGCTGGGCCCAAGGACAGCAGGGTTTCAGTGTCAGGCACAAGAACACTGTCAGGACACCCTGGGAACATCTCAAAGTTCCAGGTAAACTTGAGGGAATTCAGGCTCTCTTGACTTCTCCAGATGCCCTGAACTGGTTGCACAGGGAAGCCAAGCACTACCAGGCTTTGGGACTAGAGGTGCAGCTGAAGCTCATTTATCTGTGTGTAGTCCCAGACCATTGTGCCTCAAAGCAAGGAGACATTCTCAAAGAGCAGCATCTTGCCCTGCAAAGAACCCAGGCTCTCAGGCTCCCCGCAGGCCAGCAGGTGGGCAGAGAAGGATAGACCAAAAGCGGGGCCACAGCTGGGAGGGTAGCTGGCTGCTGAGAGCTGAAAGGTATATGTGGACTGGCTGTCCCAGAAGTGAGGGGAGAGCTTTGGACTAGAACAGCCCATTTTTGGCACTAAAATTTTTGACCCATCTAAAATTTCTTTTGGTGTAACTATGAGGTAGGAATTCAACTGTTATTTTTCCCATGGTTTTGAAGGCCTGGATTGAGCCTTGGATTTGCCATTTCTTATTTTAGCAGCCTCAGACAGATTAACTTCTTTCATCCTTTGTTTCTTCATTACTGAGGTGGCTTAGTAATACCAACCCTATCTGTCTATCAGGGCTCTAGTAAGGATAAAATGAAATGATAGCCCAGAAAGTTCTATGTGAATTTAAAATGTTCTACAAATGTATGGTATAATATTAATTACTGTTGTACCAAAAAATACTCTCATTAGAATTAGTATTTCTTCAGGCAGCAAAGAACTAACCTTCTTTAATTGAGACCTCCTTTGTTTGCATTACTTTTAACAAATAGTTAGTTTTTTCCAACTGCATATCCAGTATATTATTCTTTCCACTGGTTTCTATCATTTTCTGTAGAAGAAATAATATATATTATTACCAAAGCAATGCTACTATTTTGATTTTTTTTTTTACCTAATGACATGAAGACTAATGAAAATACAGACCACTTAATACTGAAAATTCTAATAATTAAGTCTGGGATATATTTTATATAAGTCAACTTCCTAATTTATTTTTAATTTTAAAAAGTAACATGGGAAAAATTAAAACAGACTAACAGTTATAAAGAGTTATGAAATTCAAAAATATAACCTAACTTGAATCCCCTTCTTTCCAACTATTCAACCCTCAGTCCTATGGTTAAAAATTCCTTATATATATTTCCAAGATATTTTATGACTATACAACTATAGGGAAGGATTATATTATACTCTGTTTTGCACCTTGGATGTTCCACTTAGAATGTTATCTTGGAGATTATGTCATATAAGCACATATAGATCTACTTCATTCTTTTAAAGACTTCCATTGAGTTTCATTTATGAGTACACTGTAACTTATTTACTTATGTATTATTTATTTTAAGATTTTATTTATTTATTTGAAAGAGAGAGACGGAGCACGCGCCTTCACGAGAGAGAGAGAGAGAGAGAGAGAGAGCATGAGCAGGGGAAGAGGAGAAGGAGGGAGCAGGAAGCCTGAGACACAGGGCTCGATCCCAGGACCTCGAGATCATGACCCCAGCCAAAGACAGTGGCTTAACCAACTGAGCCACCCACGTGTCCCTGTAATTTATTTAACTAGTCTCCCTTTTGAGAATTTGTGTTGTTTCCAGTTTTTTGCTATTACAAACAATGAATAAACATATCTTTTTGGTATCTTTGTGCCTAGTATAATAGCTGCCATATACCCTTGGAACAGCTTCAGAAATCATCAATTCATTGTATCATCTATATCTCTACCCACTTCCCTATTCTCTCTGCTTCTGAATTTATCTCAAGGCAACTCCATAAATCTCACCATCTATATGTATCTCTAAGAGATAAAATTCTTAATATAATCACAATACCATTATCACATAAAAATTAATATTTCTTATTTAAAATATTTAAGGATAGGATAGATATATCTGAATAATCTCCAAAAACTTTGCACCAATTCCTCTCCCACCAACAGCGCTTCTTATTTCTTTCTCTATTCTCTCTTATTTTGGTAAGAGTCACTTGGTTAAGAAAACTCAAGTTCATTGTTTTAAAAAAGTTGATAATGTTACCTCAAAATACCCATCATCATGATATTTTTTTTATTATGGCCAGTCTATCCTGTGCAGAGGAAAAGAAGGAATAGAAAAGAATGATAAGGAGAGAAAATAGAGGTAGGTATTATTCCCCTTCCCACCTTTGCTTCAGAAGCCCACTCCCCAAATCTTTCATTTATCTACCTGCATCTTCTCAACAGCTATTCCTATTCCTCTCCAGGGCAGACGAGGGGGAAAACACCTAATATATGCTTGTGGGTTTGGTCTATCATGTGATTTGTCCAGAGTTAGAGGGGTGGCGGGGGACGGGGGGGGGAAGGCTTCAAAGGGATCTGTTTTTAGGCAAAAGAGAAGGAAAAGGGACAGAATAGGAAAAAGTAAAAAAAATATATCAGTTAGTCATAATGGTAAGACATTGTGCGTTGAGTCTATTTCAATTTTTACTAAAACATTCCTGGGTTTATGGACATTTTGAACACTTAAGTATGTATTTTCCCTTTAACTTTAGCCAAAGTATGTCAACTGTCTTCTTGTACCAGAAACATTTTGATATATTAATACAAATGATCCAAAATGAAATATATTTGAAATATGGATTTTAAAAATGAGACAGGGCTTAGCAAAATATATTTCCATTATCTTTACCTTGTTTATTTTTTGTTACGTTTTTCTTTTTTCCCAGCTCCTCCCAATGACAAAATCTGTTTCACTTTTCCTTTTATACTACAACTGTTTTATATCTTTACATACCTTTTCTATCTGTGAGAAGTCATTTATAAGTTTGTCAAGATTCACACTGCTAATATTTTTCATACATTCTTCGCTGCTTTGATTCATGTCTAAACTAGTGAAGAGTAAACAGGGTGAGAAATAGATGAAAGAAATAAGCAAATGCTAAAGCACTACAATAGTGGCGATAATTCAAATACTAAAGTTTCTGTATTCCACCCATAGAGCACCTACTTGAGCTCCATTACACTCAGAAAATTTTTGTTATACTCATTATTAATAATAGTTAAATGCATTAAGTCTTCCTCAGTCCTCTCCACGCCACCCCAGTCACGTTTTCTCTAAACAAATCTAAAATTAGTGCAATGTTATGTGCATATGTAGAAATTATTTGTTCCTATTATACAAAAAACTATGCCATGTTCAACTCATCTCCTGGCCATCAGTGTGATAGGACTAAAATCTGGTGTATTGTTAAATCTGATGTGTGACTTTTAAATATAGGTAGTCTCAATTTAAGATGTTTAAAATGTTTATTAACTATCATGCCACTAATATTTTTTGCTCTATTTCCTGGTAGTGTGCTATTGCCATGGACTGAATTGTATCCCCCTGTCCCCACAATTCCTTTGGGTCTAGCCAGCTAACTGCTGAAGTGAAGAATGAGTTTGTTTTAGTCCTATGGAACCAATCATAAGAAATTCTGCAGAATTCCAGAGCTAAACTCATCCAGTCAGGATGAAGAAATTGACTTTTGCAAAACTGCAAGCATTTACATTTGGGGGTGGGAGAGTGTATAGAAGAATTAGGATTAATACAATCTAAAAGTATGAGACACTTGTCTTTAGGCTTTTCACAAGCAAATTGGAAGAAGAAAATACAAATTTGAAATTTAGACGTTCTAGATTGAGGAAAGAGCATGTGCCAGTGCCTGGTGTGTGAAAGTGGTAGTGGCAGCTAGTCCAAAGTAAAAGGTAAGTAAATTCCTAAAGTAATTACTGAAAGTAATTTTAGGGGTCATATTCTTCTTTAAAATGAGGGACATCAAAACAAACATTGCTTGACAATTTGTTACTTCACAAAGAAATCCCATTTCCTTTCTCTTTTTGATATTATATGACATTAACAACTACTAGTGGTTTTTATTTTTATTTTTTTAGATTTTTTTTTTATTTATTTGAGAGAGAGAGAGAATGAGAGATAGAAAGCACGAGAGGGAAGAGGGTCAGAGGGAGAAGCAGACTCCCCGCTGAGCGGGAAGCCCGATGTGGGACTCGATCCCGGGACTCCAGGACCATGACCTGAGCCGAAGGCAGTCACTTAACCAACTGAGCCACCCAGGCGCTCTACTAGTGGTTTTTAAATTAAAGAATTTTAGCTGTATATTTTCAGTTTATTGAATTATTATCCTCCATCACATTTTCAAGTAAAACTCTATAAAATCCCTTAGAAAGTTACAACTTGATCTTTAAGGCAGGTGAATAATTGTAAAAGCATCCCATGATAAATCCAGCAAAATTCCTTTTGGGGTAAAATTTAAAAATCACCTCTATTTGATAAACTGTTATTCTTTAAAAGAACTACAGGATAATCTGAAGTAGTTAATCAAAATATTCCCTCCCAACTTTCTTTTTTCTTTTTAGTTCCTAACATTTTAAATAAAAAAGGTTTTACTTCGGTTCTGTCTCAGATCCCAGCTCTTGAATTAAATTCATTTTAATTTCAGCTTGATTTTTCTCCCAACTCCTTTCCTCTATTGAGACTCTTGGAGTGTTTTTCTTTATAAAACCATCGCCCACATTCCACTGGCTGTTACTGCATGCTTTCCCTTTTGTCTGTCACACAGGCTGAAAAGCCATCCGGTCCATTTCTAGGTGTCTTCATAGTCCCCCCCCACCCCAATTTCCTTGATCAGGGTGTCTTCAGTGGATATACGGCCTTCTTGCCCGTGAAACTAGGTGACAAGCTGGTGATTCAGTGCCTGTCAAATTCTTTGGTGAGAAGCAGAGACTGACTTGTGACCTCCGCGGCCCAGCACCAACCATCCCCTCAGGTGGGTAACAGCCCCATTTTCTCCCCCGTCCTCCCCCCACCTCCACCGCAGACTAGCATCCGGGCCTCACCCTCTCCCTCCCCCCACCCAGCTCCGCGTGCGCCCCGCCCGCCGGAGGAGGGGCTCACAACCTCCTCCCTCTTCCCGTGTCCCAGCTGCTCTCTGCGAATTCACACAGTCGCGAAGCCCGGGACGCTGCTCCCTCCGCTCGCGTGCCGGCGGCCAGAGGAGCCCAGCTCCACTGCGGGCTATGCACCCCCGGGCCCGAGGGGAGTGGCTGGGTCAAAACCCTGCTAGGGGCTGGGAGTCTGTGAGGGGGACTGAAAAAAAGAATTTCCAAGGGCAATGTGGGAATTTCGAACCTACCGACAAAAAGTCTGGAGCTTACTTGCCTCGCCTCAAGATTCCCCACAGTTTCCCACACCTCCTCCTCCTCCGGGTGCCGGTCCGCCCCACACGGCCGTCCCCTCCCGGAAGCCAGCTCCCCCAACATCAGGCCCGCCCTTCTCCTGGCCCCACCTGTGCCCCGACCCGCGTTCCCCCTCCTCTCCTCCCTTACCTCCTTTGCCCTTGCTCCCCTCGGCATCTGCTGCTTCTTAGATATTTCCTCTAGGACAGGACTCAACACCCAGTGGCTGCCAGATCCATAATTATTAATATTATTAACTATTTCCCCAACCAAAGAATAAATCACATTGGCTTTAAGTTTTGATCAGTGAGTCAGCACCGTTGAATAAATAATAAACTATATAAATTTATTCGAGAAAACTTATGAAGTAGGCTTATAAGGTACCAGAGACATTGCTAGGTGATGGAGATGAAAGCAGGAATATAATGCTGTCTCTGCTGTCCGGAGTCGGCCAATGGATCTGGTCTCCCATCTACAAAGCTTTATCTTGGTAACTTAATGGTTAGGGGCATAGACTCTGTGTGGATTCAAGCCCCCAACTCTTTTGTTTATCAACCGAATGATCCTGGGCAAGTTTTTAAGTATAGCTGCCTCCACTTTTTTTTTTTTTTTAAAGATTTTATTTATTTGACAGAGAGAGACAGAGGGAGAGAGGGAGCGCAAGCAGGGGGAGTGGGAGAGGGAGAAGCAGGCTCCCAGCTGAGCAGGGAGCCCGATGAGGGGCTCAATCCCAGGACCCTGGGATCATGACCTGAGCCCAAGGCAGACGCTTAACGACTGAGCCACCCAGGCACCCCTGCCTCCACTTCTTTATCTGTAAAATAGACATTAAATAATAATGCCTACCTCATGGGGCTGTTGTGATAATTAAAGGAAATGATGCATTTTAAAAGTGCTTAGTGCAGTTCCTGGCAAAAAGTAAGTGTTCAAAAAAATTAGTATAATTTAAAAATTTTGGTCATTAACAGTTTGAAAGTGTATCCACTGCCAACTTTGCACTATCTACCTTTTTTTGAGTGGGAGATGAGAGATATATTTTTATTAATTCCATTTCCTATGAAAGCCAAAATTTGGCAAGCAGATACATGTAGACTGTAATAGGATAATCCATACTTTATTATTTGAAAAGTAGTATAGCATGGTGGCAAGAGAACTAGGTCAAAGTAGGAAATGTGGGATGGAGTCCTCTCTCTGCAGTTAGTAATCTGGGAAGGTTGATTCACCTTCCCAAGCACCAACCTCCCTTTTTTTTCAATTTTAAAATAAGAGCAGTGGACTAAATAACAAAGCTAAAATTTTAGGATTTTAAACCGGTCTAATGACAAAACATTGCTCATCAAAATGTTTTTTAAAAATGTAATTTTCTCATGTTTTTTAGCTCATTAATTTCACACAATATATATATATTATTTATATGTATATTACCTAGTCATATATATAAATATATCGTTAAATTTTTTAACTTCTGACTACTCAGTAAGTTTTCCTTGACATTAGTAACAACACATGGGTATATTAAAAATGGCCTTTTGAATTGCTGGTTCTATCCGATTAGAACATTTAAATGTTCCATGTAACCCATATCATAATGCTTTTTGAAACGAGCCCATTTTAAGGCCCATCTAAACTTTATTTTATATATATGTAATATATATATCTTTCTCCATAATGTCTAGCATAGTCAGAATAAATAGAAATGAGCCAACACACCAGAAATAAGTCAGAAAAATTTAGCTTGATTTTTCTAGTTTGAAATGAGTCATAAGCTTCTCTTCCAGTTTATGGATACTAGCTTTTTTTCAGAGTCTAGTGAGTTCAAAATATATCTGTCAATGAGAAACTATATGAGCTTCCTCTGATTTCATTTTTAAAAAGGGAATGCCTTTCGTAGTTGTATTCACAGTTTTATTCATCAAGTATCATCCAGCTGAGAAACAGAAAGGATTCATTGAGTATTTGCTCAGAAACTGCCTGGAAAACCTAAGAGAGGAATAAATTACATTATTGTGCCATACTAACAAAGGGAGTATGAAGAAAGCAATGTTTGAATCCATTAAAAAAAATAACTTGATTTGGAAAATAAACATATGAACCTATGTAAAGAAACCCGAGGTTACTGATTTATTCATATAAGGTTCTTAAGATGAGTGATAAACATTGATTTTTTTTTTTTAGGTTACAAACAGCTTCATTTCCTATTTCATTCAAAAATATTTGTTAAGTACTTGCAAGGTACCAGCTACTGAGGGTTTAGGCACTATGGAGAGAAAGACAAGTAAGATAATTCTCCTAATTTGGAATTTAAGTCTCTTAGGATTGCGTTCTTAAGACCTGGGCACTTTCCCATCTATTTAGTCAATAAATATTTTGGGCACCAAACCTGTACTGGGATACGTGAGAATAGGAATAAACGAATCAGGTGTGGTCCCTGACCCCAGAGAGCTTACAGTTTTAGGGCACCATTGGTTTGTGAGAGAAAAATAATAACCCAATAAATAAAAACTGTAATAAGAGCAAAGAAAGAAACACAAATCCAGGATATTGACTAAAAAGTGAATGGGAGGTGCTTTACATATTGTGGTCAAGGGAACTCTTGAGCAGATCAGATGAAAATGAGATGTGTAGGGTACATCAAAAAGTTAGTTG